GAGTCTGGCGCGCGCTGCTATTTATACTGGCATAGCTGCTAACTGCATCAGTGATATGAAGAAACACGACGATGAAACAACAAAATTATTAAACTATTGCACCGTAAATGAAAAAAAAGTTGTTTTGGCTGAAATTAATCAGCATTTTCCTTATCAAGCAACATAAAAAAAAAAATCACGTCAATCTTTTTAATATCAGCATGCTCAAAACAGTAAAAAAATAGTGACGTACGAATGTGAAACGTACAGTATTTTTCGATGAAAGCAAATGAGCAAGTACTGGCCGTGCAACGAGGCGAGGGCACAGCTGCCTGAAAATTGCAGCGTAAAATAAAGCGATAAAGAAATGAGACAAAAAAAAACCTCTGTATCAGATGCGCGACGGCCACCAACGATTTTGCGGACTGCCTCAAAAATAACGGCATGCTGATCGGGTTACTGGAGGAAGGATCCAGAACTTCAAGGCCAAAAGACGCTGCAAATTTGATACCCCACAGCTAAGCAGATTTTAAGGGGATGTTTCCTGACAGTTCTGGTGGCCAGTCTTAATTTGTTTAGCTAGAAGCATTTGCCGAAAAAAAACCAGTGCCGGTAGCATCAAAAACTGCGGGGAACCATGCAAAAAACGCATCTTCGTACGGGCAGCCCGTGCGTTGGCCAACTATTATTCAGGTTGACCCAGGAAGTGCAGATGGCAAGGTGTGAAGGAGTTCAGGAGAAAGTAGTAGTGTAGATTACAGAAGGTGAGAGCGTGATAAGACGTTTCGGTCCATTAATTCATATACTTCTCTTAACCGTTTCATCGTTGTATCGGACATCTTCGCCTTCCTTCGTGCTGTTGAGCTGGACACATCCACGTAGCTTCATTTAGGCGTTCGGTTCAAATTATCGAGGATGGTATTTTTGTAGCAATTTTGAATTGGACAGAATTGTTAAACGATGTCATGCTTTGTTATGTGTTTATCGCTTGGTCGTAGGGATTTCGATAAATTTACTGAGTACTCTGGCCAGTTCTTCATTACTGAAAGGAAGAAATAATTTTCATTACTCGGAAGCAGACATCTCAGTGCTGTGTTGTTCTGGTTCCAGGTTTATGCGAGTTTTATCATGCTGTGGTTTAATTTATTGCCATTCTTAACAGAATTCATCCGGTGTTACCCGGTTGTACATTTCACCCCGTTGCTTTATCCGGGTTGTTCTGACTGAGGAAAAGAATCGGTTTTCCGCTTATTTGGTCTTATCTGTTAGCTTGTTATGCGTTTTTTGCAGCTATGCAATGCGAAAAACGCATATTGACGAGAGGTTGTCTGTGTGTGTGTTGTGCGTGTGTGTGTGCGCTGCGCGTCTGTACCGATTTTTATGCGTTTTGTGCTGTGTAACAGCCTGTGTGTTCGTCTATACCGATTTTTCATCTCGAGACCGGTAAAAGCTGCAGGGCGGAAACTTTGGGGACATAATCTACATGCACGTACGGGCCCCCATCCCCAAAATAGACAGTCCTGCCCGCGTGGCACCTGCGTAAGGACCCGCCAAAATTTTTTTAGGATGAATTGATAACTCGCGAACCAGGAAAGCTAGAAAGCTGAAGTTTTAAGGGGATGTTTTCTGACAGTGCTGGCGGCCAGTCTTAATTTGTTTAGCTAGAAGCATTTGCCGAAAAAACCGGTGCCGGTAGCGACA